AGGTGATGAATCGCAGCTTCACGGGTCAGCTGGACAGCAGTGAACTGAGAGCATGGCCTTTCACAGCCAACGCCTGCATTTCCCTTCAGGGTCATCATGACGGGAAACGGGCCCACCGGCCCATCAGAGTCTAATTAACCCTTCAGAGTCCCATCAACACAGAGACACATCAACAAATCAGAGTCTCCAGAGTCCCATCAACCCACCAGAGTCTAATTAATCCATTAAGTCCAATCACCACATCAGAATCTCCCACCAACCCACCAGAGTCCCACCAACCCATCCAAGTCTAACTACCTCACCTGCATGACCAGTCCTCTCCGGAAAGTGCCCAGTGTGCCGGCCTCAGCCCTGTGGCTGCCTGCCTGCCTGCCCGTCTCTCACGCAGCCTGTCCAAGCCTCACCCCTCCCCCTCCCCTGGGGCAGAATCATTAGCTGCCGCAGAAAGACAGATTCGGCGATGTTGTGTACACAGCCGTAGTCAAGACCATGTTAACTGCCTTCTTCTAACAAATCACCCCTCTCTCTCCTTCTGTCTCCTTCATAAACTAGGCTAACACTGTGTCACTTAAACAACCGGGACTGAATTCACATTCACGTGCTTTACATTTAATTAGCATCATCAAAAAGTATTTAGGTGCTGAGCAACGCGCGGTCCCTGACAACACAGATTTTCAGTTCACTCTGCCTAAACATACAGCACAGGCAGGGGGACCACCAGGGCAAAGATAATGGGGGGTGGGGGGCAACAGGGAGGGGGGCTGGGAGAAACAGGACACTGTTTGTCGGATTAGATCCTTCCCCCAAATAAAACGATCACACAAAACAAATTACAGATTAAATTCACATATATGGCATTAGAAAAAGGGCTGTGCTGATTTTTATCCATCCATCCATCTTCTTACTGCTTTATCCAGTTCAGGATCACGGGGGGAGCCGGAGTCTATCCCAGAAAGCGACGGGCTCAAGGCAGGATACACCCCGGATGAGACACCAGTCCATCACAGGGCACACACAGACACAGACACACACACAACTCACATCAGCGCCAGTTTTCCCAGAAGCCAGTTAACCCACCAGCATGTCTCTGGACTGTGGGAGGAAACCGGAGCTCCCAGAGGAAACCGCCGTGAAACCGGGGAGAACATGCAGACTCCACACAGACAGCACCCCAGGACCTGAACCCGGGGCCCCAGCGCTGCGAGGTAACAATGCTGACCTCTGTGCCCCCGTGCCACCCCTTGGAATGGAAAACTGCATTCGTTCTCTGTCGTGTTCTTCTGTTGTTTGTCATGTTGGTGACATCTGAGGTCTGCCTGTGGTATATATTGTATTTTCCCCAGTAAGTGCATTTTGCTTTACATACAGGAACAGATCAATGGGGGTGAAGCTTAAAAATTTCAATTCCTCCCGGGTCGATTAATAACATCGTCCACGGCCGACAGGCAGACGCTGTGTCCTGAAAGCGAGCCCAGAGGCACACCTCAGCCTCGTGCTGAAGTGTGGCAGTGAAATTAGACAGAGAGGCAGAATGCCTAAACCAGGAAGCCATTACCAGGTCACTAGATAAGCCTGCACAGACAGTCTGTCTTTGAAAACGCTAGACCTGCTAAAATATCTGCAAGCAGAAGGTGTCGTTCCAAAGACTGCCACACGTGAGGAGACCAGAGTTACTGCAGAGAAAGGATTAAACCGATCCTGTACTTTCCTGGCACTTGTAACCTCTTCCCTGCTTTTTTTCCTATCCCTTCTCCCCTTCTCTGTTTTCTCAGTGAAAAACAGAAGAGGGAAGTTTCTGCATCCTTGCCTTCACGCACACACACACACACTCCTGTGCCCCTGTGCCTCGCCTGTGTGTGATGTAACCCCCTCCCCCCGGTATCTAATCTGAATGTGATCTGAATCTCGGGAGCAGCAATCACTGAGACGTGCTCACACCTTCTCCATTACACTCTTTTTTTATTAGTTGCTATGGCAATGAGATAAAATTCACACCGCGTTGTACCCCAGAGAGGGATGAGGAGACCGATACGCAACTGTCTCTACAACACACACACACACAGTCTCTGCAAAACACACACATACACACGTACACAAACACTGTCTGTGCAACACACACACATACACTGTCTCTGTAACACACACACAGTCTCTGCAACACACACACATACACACATGCACTGCCTCTATAACACACACTTACACGCGCACACACAGTCTCTGCAACACACACACAAACTGTCTCTGCTACACACACACTTCCACACAGTCTCTGCAACACACACATCCACGCACACACACTGTCTCTGCAACACACACACATCTACACGCACACACACTCTCTGTAACACACATTTGTACACACTGTCTCTGCAACACACACACTTCAAGTCTCTGAAACACACACACATACACACACAGTCTCTAAAACATATACAAAGTCTCTGAAGCACACACAGTCTCGGAAGCACACACATGTACACACGCAGTCTCTGAAACACACATGTACACACACAGTCTCTGAAACACACGTCTTCCAAGACAGAGTAACATCTACAGTACGTATATACCCAGATATTTATAGGAAGTAACTATACTGTGCTTTCCACTGAACTTCACACTCACCAACACAGGGTCAGACACCCACACACACTGCCCTCCCAGTCACAACACCACACAGTTTCACACTCCCAGCAATTTAAGTGGAAGAGAAGAAAATGAAACTCGGCTGTAACACAGCCCCGCTCACCTCCTCAAACACACAAACACCACATGTCCACGCACACCTGGGGCCTTGCCAGCTCGCAAGTGTCCTCTCATGCAAAGGAGGTTTCTTGTGGGGGCGCCAGCATGCTTAAAAACCGCCAGATTTCGGTTATTGATTTCAATTACTCATTCTCTTGCGCTCTTCATTGACGGTAACCCTGCTAACACACTGTAGCGTAATTCGGGGAAGAGGTATCCGTAGCGGTTTGATCCATTCCAGGTTTTGCCAGCTGCAGACGGGCACAAGGCCAGCAGATTTGATTTGGATGAGGGTAAAAGGCCTGTAACGTCCAGACCCTGGTGATGGCTGATAAATGACATCCATTGGCCTGTAAAAACAGACACCAACCAAACTGCTCTCCAGCTGTTGAACTCAGCCTCTTCATTGGGTCTTTTTTCACCCGATACTCTTGAAGTCTAATGGGCCCGAGAATGATCATGTTCCAGGCCCAAACTTTCCGGGAATGACACGACCCACGGCCACCAGCTCTCGGGATCTCTGTCACAGCCACATACTCGGGCTTACGCACCCACCAAACATCACGCGCGCCGACAGTGGGCTTCATCACTCTGCTCTCCTCCCCACTGAGAGCTGGTGTGTGGGGAGAGGACTGGAGCATCATCCAGGTGGGGCTGCACACTGGTGGGGGTGGAGGGGATCCCCATGACCTGTGAAGGGCTTTGAGTGGAGTGTCCAGAAAAGCGCTATATCAGTGTAAGAAATTATGAATTATTATTATTAATTAGTTTCACTCTTGCACAGGGTCAGACACCCACTCATACTCGCGCTCCCTGCCCTCCGAGTGCGCCTGAACGCCTGAACGCCGGGCACCGGGGATCACAGCTCCACAGTGAGGAGGAGGAGGCTTCAGCACGTGCCTGGGCGCAGACTCTTACTCGCACTTCCGCTTGGCTTGTGAGGACAAGGGCTGCCTGTGTTTGGCGCTGCAGACAGAGCTCAGACCTGGACGGCCAAGCCAAGCTGAGACAGCTGGGCTGAGAGAGAGCGATGAGCACAGACGCCCATCTGGTGCTCAAAGCTTTACAGTGTTCTTGGGACTGGCCCCGCTTCTGTGAGGTCTTCTATGCTTTGGACAACATCAAAATCAACTCAGAGCTACAGAAAAAGTCCAGTTTCCTGACCAACTGCTAAATGCGCAAAACGTTTCACCTCTAAAACAAGATCACCGGCCGCTGCAATGTCAGACCCTCTGAGAAACACACACTTCTGAAAGACCCTCAAACCCAGCTCACAGCAATTAATTCACTAATCCGGTTCCAAAAAGCAGGAAAAAACAGATTCAGGTTCATTATCCGGCCTCTTCCATGTCAAACCTTTGTACATCTTTTTGGCAATGACACTGTTTTGTCAAGATCGTTCCTGGTCCAGACTGAAATCAGCACACCAGAAGCACACCAGAAGAGTCAGCATGTCACCTCTCATATCTGCCCGGGGGCTTGATCTCCACATTGGCACAAGATCCCTGCTCAGTCATTTCCCGTCACAATACACTCGAGACAACTGTCCCCAGCGAGCCAGCAAGGATGAATCACTTTTCTCCCCCACTTAGCGTGGAAATCGAAACCTTGACCGATTCTGCGCAGCGAGTGAAGCCCAAAGCACGCGCGGTCTGTGACATTAGATGACACCCGTGCAGATCTGGACAGAGTTTCTCCCGATCGGCACACCTTCCCATTTCTCCAAGGCCGCGTAACGCCGATCCTCTGCTGTACACATCCTCGGCCTTTCAGACCCCCCGCGAGGCCGGCTCCGCGTGCCCGCCTGAGAGACCCCCGTGCGCCGACTACCGAAGACTGACAGACTGGCTGCCCATCCGGCCAAATTGCTGGCTGACCGATCGAGTGACCCAGCAGCTGACAGACTGCCCGGCTACCGACCGGCAGACCGACTGCTTCCCGACTCACCGCTGGTGAACGGACACGCCGGTCGTCACGGTCACTCCCACCGGCCGACACGACCGGGGAAACAACTGCAGCCCGGGGGCGGAGCGCTCCTTCTCTCGGGAGAATTGCGGAAGATCACCTCTTGCTCACATAGCAACCCGCCCAGCTCCCCTAAATCCTCTCACGCACACAAATGCATCGGCGCCTCCCAAAACACGAGCACACTTCGGCAGAGGCGATTCTCACACTTCGACCATCCCCGCGTGTGACACACACCCATCCCACCCCCCATCTCGGCCAGAGAAAGAGAGAGGAAGCCAGGGTCCTACCTGGGACGATGGAGACAGTGTCTTTCTCCCAGGACACTACGCTAATGTATTCCTGCACGGCAGAAAGAATGAGGCACTTGAAGACGGCCACGTTTCCCCGCGTGGCCCGCTGGTCGTCCACCCGCACTGTGTAGGGCTCCCTGAAAACTGCAGAGAGAGAAGACACACCTGTCACGCAGGCCGAGCTCCGAGACAGACACACGGCAAGCTGCTGCAGATCCCATCATAGCCCTCATCCATCAGAAAGGGGCCACCGTTACCCGCAGGTCATTTTCCATCTGCACACATACCCCCCCACACCCACACACACTTCATTTCGAAGAATTGTCACTGAGGCGCGAGGCCAAACGAACTCGAGGACACTAGGCTGCGTGTCCATCCATCCATCTTCTAACCCACTTGATCCAGTCCAGGATCACAGGGGAGCTGGAGTCTATCCCAGCAAGCATCAAGGCAGGGTACACCCTGGGTGGGACACCAGTCCCATCGCAGGGCGAACACAGGCACCAGGGCCAGGTTTCCCAGAAGCCCATAAACCTCCCAGTTTGTCTATGGACTGTGGGACAAAACCAGAGCTCCTGGAGGAAACCCACACAAAGGAGGAGAACATGCAAACTCCACACAGACAGCACCCCAGGAATCGATCCCAGGGCCCCAGCTTAGCGTGGCAATAATGCTCACCACTGCACCACTGTGCTGCCCAGGTACATGCCTTGATAAGAACATATCTCAAGCACAGCCTCGTGCTCACAAATGTCAGTAGGACTTTAAATATCATCTCTGCTGTGACGTGCGCAGTGGAAATGAATGGAAATTATGTTGAAAGCATCATTGATAATCTCCCTGCTGCAGAAATGGGGTGATTTTGGATCTCTGGAGACAGGCGTGTTGGGCTTGTTTTGAGATCAGTCTAAATTTCACCACAGGGCACAATTTCACCAGGAGGGCAGGTAAATAGACACCCTTTAGTGGTTTCTGACAGAAGCTGATTTTACAGGGGAAACGACAAACCTCAGCAGTTGGCATCATTAGTAAACACTTTCCCTGGATAAAACTATGAAATGGTTAATCAGACTGATCAGATAAGAAGGAAGATACAGGGTTAAAAAAAAAACAGAAGCAAGAGAAGACATGTGTATGAATGCAAGGCTAAATGCGTGTACAGACTGCCACCTAACCACTTCAAAAGCCTGAAAATTAATCCTGAGCTAAAAATACTCACAAAATGTGCTTTCATATTATAGTGGGACTTAATTTCATGCCATTTCCTTAATTAAGATACAGTGTTTTTGTCATTAGACAAAACAAGCATGCTTTACTTTATTCAGAAGAAGATGGATGGCATTTGCCCAAAAGTTTGCTACTGTGGTTTGCTGTATACTGCTGTGATGCTGGTGCAGGTCTGAACCAGCGCAAGAGTGAAGGCCTGTGTGTCACAAGGCCGGGGGCTCAGTTATTGGCCTTTGCCACCAGTTTCCGTCTCGCGAACTGCCCTTTCCTGCTCTGAATCAGCTGCTGCTCACTCAGAATGCGGAAACCCTTCGGCAAGAGAATTTCAAAATAGCTGAACAGCAAAGATGAACACATTCAACTTAAAAATAACAAAGTCATCTCATAAATAATTATACAGATGGGAGCTAAGTTTACAAAAGCAAAGGTATTGTTGCCTACGCCTGCATTATTTTCTCTTCAGCAAGTACAAAATACATGATATAGGTGATCATAGTGTGAGCTACACAGACTCACTCACACAGGCATACAGATGAGCACAGAGGGATGAATGATAAACATCACCTTAGTTTCAATAACCAACTCAGGGTCACAGTCTCCCAGAGCTTATCCCAGGAAGCACCGGGCACAAGGCAGGGTGCACACTGGACAGGATGCCAGTTCATCGCAGGGCACACACAGACACAAACACACACTCACACCAGGGCCAGTTCACCCAGAATCCCATTAACCCACCAGACCATGGGAGGAAACCAGAGCACGTGGACAAAACCCATGCGAACACGGGGAGGACATGCAGACTCCACCCAGACAGCACCCCAGGAACTGAACCCAGGGCCCCAGCGCTGCGAGGCAGCAGTGCTCACCACCCTGCCCTGAGTGATCAACAGTACGGCATAAAAAATGACAATATCAGAACTAACAGATAAATAGAACTATCTTATTATACTTTACACACTCTCGTCACTCGTAAGTTAAACGAACGAATATTTCGTACAAAATGGCGGGTGGGAATGTGTCTTACTCCTGTATTTTTTAATTGGTTCTGAACAATGGGACTGACACATCTAATCTCCGCATAACCAGAGTGGCGGACAATAACGCGGCCACCCTGAGCGGATTAAACACACAGCCCGAGAGAGAGCACACAGCGCCCTTTGTACAGATGAGCGGAGAGGCTCTCTCTGGCCCGTGAAGCCGTCACAAACATTACAGGCCTCCTGCGCCTGGCCACAAGAGCAGGCAGAATAGACACACGCGACGCCAACAGAGAAGAGGCGTGATCCCATCTCCGGGATCGTTTTGCCATACTGACTTTACCACTTGAATTCCCAGGAATGAAACGGCTCTAAAGGGAGAGTGTCTGCAAGCGAGCCGACAGGCCCGACGACACCAACGCGATTTTACTCCACACGGGCGCAGAGACGCGGGGCCCACAGACGGCAACCTGACTCAGGAAGGTGTTCTTGGTAATGATGAAGCAGTGCACACACACACAACCAGGCACGAAAGGCAATAATCCAAACTGTGCCGAAAATGGGATTAATCCGGTCATTAATAAAACCCTGTGCCGGGTGGGAAAAGTCACCTTCTTGCACTGGGAGCAAATCTGTAGAAGATAATATTCTCATCGCATAGAAAATCACAGCACCGCAGTCTGTCCCACCTTACCGGAGCGCCACTGTCTGACAGCAGACAGCTCACCACTTCATTCATATGATGTACTAAATTTAAGCGGCAAGAAGGCCTTTTCATAGATTAGCAATTCAAGTTTACACTTTGTCAATATACTACAAAATTACACTAGTTTACTTTTATCACAGCTGTTGCTCCTGTTATAGTTTATGCTTTAGGAAATGTAGCTTTGCAATTATATTTTATGCCTTTGGATGAGAAGCCCTGTAATGCTACTGTATGACCAAAAGTCACTTTTCCTGCCAAACGCTGCGGTCTGAGCATCAAAAGAAATGTATCACTCTGTCTACATTTAATGTATGCTTCAGAGAAATACAGAAAACAGATTTGATTAGATGTTTTCGGCATTATTCTGATAAGTTTACCATGACAGACCCACTACTGACTTTGATTGTTAAATTAGTGACAGGTGATTTAACTCATTGAACATCAAGCCTGCTAACACTCAAGTCCGGTAAACTGATACCACCAACGCACAAAGGCATATTTTTCCTTCCTTTTCTTTCTTTCACTGTGCCCCAGTGGCCTAATGGATAAGGCACTGGCCTCCTAAGCCAGGGATTGTGGGTTCAAGTCCCATCTGGGGTGCTCCTGTCCCCTTTTTGGCTCTTTGGCTAAGGATCTGCACCTTTGGCTGGAAGGTGCCGGTTCGAATCCCACTCCATTGGGCCCCTGAACAAGGCCCTTAACCCCAGCTGCTCCAGGGGCGCCGTATATATGGCTGACCCTGCACTCTGACCCCCAGCTTCTCTCCCCGTCTGTGTGTCTCATGGAGAGCAAGACGGGGTCTGCGAAAAAAACAGATTCCTAATAGAATTTTATATGGCCAATAAAGTGATCTTATCAGACTCTTCCACTCTGCAGTAGGACAACACATGTCCTCATTCTGCTCATGTATCAACAGCTTTCTGGCGAGATGAGAATGCAACAGTCAGTCCTGGATGATGTAGTCAGCAGACTTGAGCCCCACGGGACACAAGATGAGCTGGGAAAAAGTGTGACATTTTCGGGCTCAGAGACCAGTGACCAGGCACAGGCCTGTCCAGGGCTCAGAGACCAGAGATCAGGCAACTGCTAGTCTAGGCTCTAGGAGAGGAATCTGAGAAGAATTCCACAAGACAGCATCTGAAACCTGGTGCAAAATGTCAAAGAATCGTAGGGCAAGAGCAAGAGCAAATTCAATGTCAGAAACGGCAGATTAATCACTCTTCTTGGAAAGTGCATGTGTCCTGCTGTGTGATGGGGAGGATTCAAACGTGACTAAAACCTCAACACAAGGGACAGACCTATTCCTCTTTATGCACGACAGTATTCACAGCAGGCCAGTTATTGGCACCTGTGCCCAGTCTGAGTGGTAGAATTAACCTGTGATGGGGATACTGACAGACTGCCGACAGAGCCAGTTACATCAGGTAACCTCCCTCATTTCTAACCCCCATATTAGACGACTCTGTCAGTCCAGTAATTACTGTTCAATCCTCCCCCCACCCCCCCTGCAGGGACACACAGACCCCACCTTGCTCTGCAAGTACTGCTAGCACGATTCACACTGTGCAGGCTACTGCTAAAATCAATATACCCGCGCACAGACAGACTCCGGAGAGAACAGATGTTTGTTCAGAGATCACCAGGACACAGACGGGGCCGTTGCTCAGGTCTCATCTAATGACACATCTGGCCTCTGGAGTTCCCTTTACCCGTAACCTTGACTCTCACTTCTGTCTGGCAGGAGCTGGCCTCTGCATCTGCAGAAGCCACTCTCGACTTCATTTATTTGTTAATAGGCGTATTGTTGACCTTGCCTATAAACCCGTCAGCGCGGGAGAGCGCCGAATCCCCTTTTATAAATCATGTCCGTCGCCCTGGTCTCCCGTCTGCGTCCTGGCCGAGGCCTGACTGCTTAGCTTCCAGGTTTCTTCGCGGGGGTTAAAATTCGCAGCACTTGACAATTATTCCCGGCTTTCGGCTGTTGTTATTAGCGGTAAGGGTCGCTCTGCCAAATTGATAATTACCTGAGAAAAGAGAAAGGCGACTGTTTATATAGACACTGTACTGGGCCGTGCTCGTACGCGCGGTCATTAGAATGCGGCGGACGCTTGGCTATCGTCTGTCGTTGCTAAGAGACCGACAAAAACACGCTCGGGCTCTCCAGTTTCAACCACAGGCCTGTGTCACTGTAATTTAAATAATTTACACCGGCGAAACCGAATACATTATTCACT